GCATGCCACTGCAGCCATCATCAACGTGCTTCGGTGCGCAGAGTATGAGTGAGGCCTGTGCTTTTCGGGTAGTTTCATGACAAGGGTGCTGCAAAGCATCCCCATTATTGCCAGCATCACGTTCATGTTCATGTGCCGCGGCCTTTGCACACAGATTGTGAAGGGGATTGATGGGGTAATGATTCTGCCACTTTACGAAAGTATGACAGCCCCACCCTAGGCTTTCCGTGCTCGTCCGACTCGCGCCTACAGGGTTTCAGGTTGGAACAAGCTAAGCACACCAGCATCTGCTTGCCCTCGTCCGTCGGCGGGCCTGACCTCGAGTGCATCGCCGGGAGCTAAGCTGCGACGAGGGACAGGGGGTCGTGAAAGCTCGGGCTTCTAGACCAGGCGGATTCCGGAGGCTAAGACAAAGCGGACGGAAAAAGGTGCTCAAAAAGAAAGACCACATCTACTCCTGCAGGCATCATGAGCAGGTCCACAACCTAGGCCAGCGGCCACAAAGCCAGGCAAGTGCCTCAAATCCTGGACCCGTGCTCGAACGTCCCATGTTCTTCGCCGAAAGCTGAATGATGGTGCCGGGGTGGAGTGGATGCTAGAAGCAGTGGGAAAACCTCAGCAGAAGCCCAGGACTGCTCTTCAGCAACCCTGGTAAACAGGCCGGGATGGGCCAGAAGAACTCCATCTTCGATATGAAGCTCAAAGCGAAGGCTCGTTTGGACCGTCCAGAGAAGCCGAAAAGAACGTTGTATTTCGAGCCTGGGGTTCGGTGCTCTGGATTTCGGAGTTTGTTAGCCTCTGCTCAGTAGGGACCTGTCCAACTACGGTAGCTGACAGTCAAGCCTACAGGTTGCCTGCGCTTGCTTTTGAGGATTGCCTTGTTGGCTGTCGAAAGCCACGGCAGCCTCTAAGGGAACTGGGCACGCTGCAATCTATCTGCAGGGAGAGGGCACACATATGCACACATGGCGCACACAGACAAGGAATGAGTAGTCATTTCCTCACACGCATGGTAGGGCCGACAAAATCGCAAAGTTGCATTCTCCAACATGGTGTCCCTGCTGCAAACGTTTCATGTGTTTTTTCAGCAGGAGAGGCGGACAACACCTCTACGTGTGGATGTCTTTTATCTCGCGTGCTGACATGGGCATGTAGGGCTAGTAGCATGGATGTTATCATCGTTTCGGGCATGGACGTTATCCTAGTTTGCGTCGGATGGGCAGGCAGGACGCATGGGCGGCAAACGAAGGCGATGAACCCAAGGAACACGGCTTGGGAGTTTAGGACGGTTTAACCCTCCCTGTGGAAAGCTTGCCTCGAGCAACTTGTCCAAGCATTTTTCATGTAATATATTCATAGCTGCCTGATACAGGAATCCATCGCAACAGTTCCCGAGCTAAGTGCCATCTGCCGCACAGCTCACAGGAGTGGCAGTGGGAGCTTGGGCGGGAGGCCGCGGCCAGAGGGCCTCGACAGGAAGTAGAACTTCGATGCGCAGCGGCTTCTGCCGCTTCGCAAGCTGAGTGTTGTTTGTGCTTGCATGATCTTGCATGGGGGGACGTGTCTTCAGGTCTTGACAGCCCCGTAGAGATTTGCAAAGACTCTCTCAACTGCCGGTTTCGCCATGGGACGGCGTGTGCGAATAAGATGTTAGCTAGTGGTTGTTGAGCCGAAGGCTTGAAAGGACTGCAAGGCTCAGATTACACGTCCATTCAACTTCCCTCCTTCCGCAGGCCAAGCACCTGGACAAAGAGATTGCCAAGATCCAGAAAGACGAGGCGCAGAAACGAGTCTGCATGAGCCGCTGTACTCAATTTATACCTTGTGCCCTGTGGCAAGATGATCTGAAAGATGAGGTTGCGCAGACTCTTCCCGAATGGTTACAAACCAAACCGTACCCTTCACAGAGCTCTCCCGGCGACTCCTGCGACAACTCGTCGGGCTCGCAGAAGATTGACACTTGGATACTGTCTCTGCTGACCAGGCCAAGCTCCAAGATCAGATCCGGCTGCAGGTGGGTGAAGCAGCCGTCTTGACTGACTCGGAGATGGAAGGTGGTCAGAGTTCTACCAGAAACACTCCTGTCCAGCTTGCAGGGTAGAGCTTACTGGGACTCGCATGGCAGGGAGAGCCGTTCGACCCGACCCCAAACATGAGAGAGCATCTAGGTATGAACTCGAGAACGTTTGTGTGAGGGTTCGGAGTATGTCTGGTTAGGCCGAGAAGGGCAACGTCGAAGCAGTGCAGCTCCTTGCAAAGTCTGTGCCCGATCGATTTAAGGGCGGGTTTCGGTCGTTCAGGGCTTGGATCGCCTCACATCTGACATGGGGTGTACAGCGTATTTCTTCTGACCGGGCTTTGGCAAGGTACTGGGACAGTCCTGAATATTCTCGTCGATGTACTGGTGCGTCATGCAGGTGGATTTTTGGATTGAGGCATAGTGAACCATTGTAGCATTTCTGCAGCCTTGCGCTGCTTGACACTGAGATAGTCCGAAGGGTTCTACGGGCTGATGATTCACTTGGAATTCGTGGTTCCGGTCAGTCCTTCATTGTAACTCCTTCGTGCTGCAGACGGCTTGCAGGTTGCCGTAAAAGCAAGCACCTCAAAATGCCAAGTGGCTGACAAAACAAGCTGCGTCCGCAATCGCAGACCAGATGCTGCGTGAGGTCCGTGGTGAAGACAAGGAAAGCGGTACAGAGACTGGAGAAAACGAAGGCCGAAGTTTTGCCAACAATCGCAGAACCTCGCATGGCTGGTAGGTCTTCTGCACCACGTGAGAGTTGCTAGAGCTCCGATTGACAAACTGCATATGTAGCAAATCCGACCCTGCGTGCATTTCAAGCAGCTATATTCACCACCTCCGTAACTGTTGTGACGCGCAGCGACACCATGCGCATATCTGGAGTCTTCTTTGTTGTGATTTGTTTGCATCAAGACGCTCCTTCACGCTTATATGTCGTTTGCAAGCTCGGCTCAGATCGGTGCTAGCGCCGTGGCTCTCCCAAGCCCTGTAGTGATTCTCAGGCAAAGACACATTTTCAACTTCATGCACTCACTACAGCACTACGTACAGTAATGGTCGTCGAAAGTGAGAATGCTGGCTGGGAAGACAAAGCCGTTGGTATCTTCGTAGCAGCCATCCAGATGTGATGGAAACATGTGGAAAGTATGCGCCGCCATTGCCATCATGTCAGAGGCCGTGTCGCAAAGTTGGAGCGTTACAAAATTGGAGCGGCGGCTGTGCCTTCGAGAAGCATTCTCTTCGAGAGCTGCAGGTGACTTTGTGGGTTCGCGCAGTGATGTGTGGCTCATGAACGGCAGCCAAATGCATCATCAGGCTCTCAAGGCTAGCTTCTTTTGGTCCTTGGAGAGGCCAAGGCTGAAGCAGTGGCGCACGCGTTGCAATTCCAGAACTTCGAACTTCGTATAGAGCTTTTTCTTCTGTTAATTAGTGTAATCAGGCCTACAATGAGCCTCGTTGGACCAATTTTCTGAAGTTGCCCTGCAAATTCTCAGATAGCGAGCAAAAGTCGGAGCATATTGGCTCCGAAAGGGGCCGTGATTGCGCTTCACTATGGCCATGATGCCAGCATTGCTATAGCGACGCATGGGCGAGTCCAGTGTGTGTTGGAGCTTGAGAGGTTGTTTGGGGCGAGATACTGCTATCCAGCAGAGGCAAACCACAGATTTCAGACAAAGTTGCGTGAAGTGAAGCATTGGTTGCGTTGCGTGATGGATGCGTATGTGAAGATGGGCCCTGCCTAACCAGGTTTGCAGAAGGGGTTGCAATGGACTTGACATTCTTCAAGCCGGCAGTCACGGCCCAGACTCCGCTGCTTGTAGAGGAAGTCTTCGGGACTGTTGGGAGATACCATGAAGGTCACACACTGCTCGGCTATCACGCTTCGCCTCGCAATCTTGGGCACTTCAATGTTTTCCTGGGCCAGGGAGGTGAGATGCAGCGTTTAGCAAACCAATATGCTCCTTTTGGAACTTTCTATTGTGCTTTCCGCACGCTTCTGCCGGACGTAGCAGGCGAGTTCTTCAAAATGACGCACAACCTTCTTTGCCAGAGATGCCGAGGAACTTGCCATGGACAATGGTTGGGTATGAGTTCGTTGTCTAACTTCTTTGCCAGAGATGCCGAGGAACTTGCCATGGACAATGGTTGGGTATGAGTTCGTTGTCTATCACCAGCATGTCCAACTGGATTTTGCTAGCAAGCTGATGAGCTGTTCGGGCCTCCGAAAGCCCGGACGGCTCACTTTCCAAGAGCAAGCAGAGGTGGAAGAGTATTTCGAAATACTGTTTCAGGACAAAGCCACAAGGGATTTGAGTTCCCCCTAGAGGCTGCTCTTCCCATCACATCTGCTAGCACTGTCTTGTACGTCCTGCAAGGGACCGATGCGATTGGCTGGCGAGGTCCAATTCCAGTTCCAGCATCGGCCACATTCGAAGCTTGCTGAAGCAACTGAGCCAAGCAAGCGTTCGGGTGGAGGGTATCGCTTTGACGGGTGGCTGCGCCTGGAATGTTCTTGCCAATTCAGCTGGTTCGAGACAACATCACTCAGGGAGCACTTGGCGGTATCTATGCCGATCATCCCCTTGATGTGTACGTGGTGCCTGCGCCCAGTGATGCGGGCCTGGCAGTAGGTGGTGTATGGGCTGTGCAGCCCCAACAGAATTCCACAAGCACTGCAATACCTGGGCTTGCCCCTGTTCTATGAAGAGATCTTGAGCTTGGAGGCGGAGCGACGCGGTGCACGGCGCTTGGCAGAGCTGGGAGGGGTGTGGATTTCTTGGCCGACCTCCTCACGCAAAATCGCAGTGCCGGGGGCAAGCCCATCATTGCAGTTGTTCGAGATTGTTCGAGGGTGACAGGAATTTGGTCCACGCGCGCTTGGGCACACGTCACCGCTGGCAGTGCCAGACACTTATGACATCCTGAACCGACTGAAGTTTCGCCAGTGGTACCGCCCTGTGGCGCCAATATAGCCGTGGAGGCCCTCAAAAAGGATTTTGGCCGGGTGGTTCTGAGCACATCCATGGAATTTGCTCCACGTGTGCTCAAGTCCGTGCAGGTCGATTCCCCGCGTTGGCGCACTACGACGGCACTGCGCGGCACCAGTCGGTGAGCTTGGAAGATGAGTCGTGGATTCACTCACTGCTCTTGGCTGTAGGCAAGATTACTGGCTTGGCTGCCTTGATCAACGCGAGCTTCAATTTTCAGAGGAAAGCCGATCGTGAATACTGTTCGAGAGAGCCTTGAGATGTTGGATACCCTGCCGGATCTTGACTACTTGTTCATCGAAGGCTGGCTCTTTCAAGCCCCCGAGGCCGAAGTCTAGGGTCCAAAACTGGGACCCGTTTGCCAGAGCTTTGTCAGTGAAGCCAATGCTCGAGCGGCCGGAAACGCTGTGGAGCTTCGGATTCGAGAAAAGAACTGCGAGCTGCTACCAGTAGCTTGAGGTCTTCGGGTGTTCTATTTCATTCACAGCAAGCTGGTTCGGGAGGCAGGAAATAAGATGCCTCGAGGTTCGGAACAGTAGGATTGATAAGTCACGGCCGGGCTGCCGGGCTAATATCCGCGGTGGTGGCATCCAACGCCTGCTACTCGAGGGCTGGCTGAACCGCGCCTGCGAGGCCTCCATGGAAGCCGTAAAGCTGCAGCTCACCACGCACATGGCCTCCATCTCCACCAGCGCATCCATCCGCCTTTCATCGTCCAGCCCTCAGCCATGGCTGTGCGGAGGGCAATTCGTGATTCGGGAGATACCCAAGCCAAAGTCCCAACTCGATCGCGACTGTCGTTTGATAGTCTGATAAGAGCAGATAACTATTTGTGATCTAGGCGATATGCCTTGCGAGTTCAGGGACATCATGCGCAAGATGAATACCATCGCACGTATCCCAGAGATCAGCGAGACCATGAAGGCCTGGACGTGGGCGCGCTGAGTCACGGCCGCCCTACGCCCTACCCAAATGGAAGAGCCTCTAGAAATACAAACAAATAAATACGTATAAATAAGATGAAATAAGTGCATAAATATAGATATAAATATAGATAGATAAATAACAAATAGCAGACAAATATAGATAGATAATTAAATAAACACATATATATATATACATATGTATGTATATATGGAGAGAGCTGGAGAGGGGGCCCCCCGCTGCTCAACAGACTCCGTTCTCGTCTCAGTTTGGCAGTCTCGGGCAAGCGCTTTATATAGAGGACTCACGACTTAATCAAAGGATACTTGTTTAAGTTGCGAGTGCGCGAACATGCTCTTAGGTCCGGTGTATATATATATATATTATATGAGCGACTGTTTTTATTATCATGTGGGAGGCCATACTTTGCAGAGATAAAATTAATCAGAATGCTCCATTCGTTGGAAAAACGATAGGCCCCTCCCAAAAGCGATACCCTCAGTTCGGCTGTGGGTTTCAGATGCGCTCGCCAAGCTTCGGGTTTAAGTTGTACTCTACTGGTACTACCGCTTTCCAGTACTAAGGTTGTATTGTAACCCAGCACAATCCAGCCAGGACCCCACACGAGGCATTTCCAGTACTAAAGTTGTACTACAACCAAGCACAATCCAACCTGCATCCGAAACGAGGCACTTCCAATACGAAAGTTGTACTACAATCCAGCACAATAGAGCCAGGACCCCAAACGAGGCATTTCCAGTACTCGAGTTGTACTACAACCAAGCACTATCCAGCCTGCATCCGAAACGAGGCACTTCCAATACTAGAGTTGTGCTACAACCAAACACAATCCAGCCTGCATCCGACACGAGGCACTTCCAGTACTAAAGTTGTATTCAACCAAGCACAATCCAGCCTGCATCCGAAACGAGGCACTTCCAATACTAAAGTTGTACTACAATCCAGCACAATAGAGCCAGGACCCCAAACGAGGCATTTCCAGTACTAAAGTTGTACTACAACCAAGCACAATCTAGCCTGTATCCGAAACGAGGCACTTCCA